TACCTTTCTGCTGGTAACTGATCACCAGCAGAAAACCTGACGAGACGGCCCAAAAGGCGCCCGGAGGGAGAGTAGACTGGTTTGGAGTATGTGATGCCACCTAGCTTTCTTCAATGTTGCGTCATAACTTTCCTGCTGTCCCACTTGATTTTCATTCTTATCTAAATTCTAACTGTGGGAACTTCAGTCAGTCACCTACGGAGACCACAAATTCCACGCCACCACCTCTGTCAACCGGTGTAAGGAGGAAAGACAACACCAACTAAATAGTTGCCAACTTTTGAGCAGGAAAGTAAACGTTTGATATGCACATAGCATGCAAAAACTTGACATTCGCATGCGCATTATTGAACTTTCGCGGGTATTACCTGCCTGTCACGCAATGGCAAACGAACGCTGCAAAGCAATTCCCCAAGTTCCGCAATAAACCTCACCTTCCATTAGGCGAGAGGAAGAGCTTCGATAAAAACATATACTGCTTGCATGCCTCATCAGTAGTATCTGCCACCACACCGATACATGTTCGCCATTCAAGTTTTATTCTCGTGTTCTTATTGCAACCTTCAGTGTGCAACACCTTTTAAGACTGGACACCAGTTTTTCGCATCAATAAGCACGCGTACTGGTATGAATACTGAGCTGTTTGTTTGACATGTCCACGTATTCGTCAACAAAGAAACTCTCTGTTGAGAACTTATCACCCTGTTGTCTATATAGTCATGATAACAGGCGATTTGGGCGCACAGGTAGGAGACCTATGTTTATCAGGGATACGCATTGTTTATTTTGAACTCCAAACACAACTATAATGGTGAACGTCTTTTGCAACTCTGTACTAATCACCACCTGTTTCTCAGCAGCAGGTGCTGTCGGGCTATCTGGCATCTCTCTGCTTGTAAGGAGTCTTGCTGTCCAATTGACCATATGGCACCATCCATCTTTTTGGGATACACAGGTTGATTCATATCATGCGCTTCTTCGGTGCAGATTCCCGTTTACTTATCTTGGTAGCCCTAAGAATTAGACTTCTGACTTAGCACTGGAAAATTAATCAGCATATCAAATATCACTACGCTGTACATCACGAACGGCTTTCTCGGTGGTCTGAATAGTTTCAAAAACTGTTTGGTCGAATATTTAGCCCTGCTCAGCCATATGAATGCCCATAGCGTTGTTTAAGAATGTAAAGAAATCTTTAGGTTGTATTCAACTAGTCTGTTGATTCCTATTTGGGAATAGGAACACCTTCCAGAGCAATGGAGGCATCTTGTTCAAAAATGTACGCGAACCAACTGCTTAAGCCGACATGGCATCTTGAAACGTAAGTGGTTACAGTCAGAGAGAGTGATGCTAGACTTTCGCACGTTCCTGGCTTGGGTCCACTTGATCCTACTTGCAGTTTGTTGGAAACTCCGAAGGGCACCGTATGAAATAGACCCCTGTGGCACATGCATGCGGCCATTCCCCAACGAGGCTGTCTATTTTATGTGCCGCCTTTTGTCGTGCTCCCAGCCTTCGTCGGCTGAGCCTCACGAAGAATGCTAATTTAATCCTACTGATAACACTTTTTTTCAATATGATTCTCAGCTGTGTTTATCTAAGTGCCGTATAGAAAACTTACCCTTGATCGCTTCCCCCAAGGACACAGAACATATGTGCATTAAGTCTGCAATTCCAAACTTCCACTCCGTACGAACGCTTACTTTCTTCGTGGCTGCATTTTAGTTAAGCGTCTGTAGGATGTACTGGTGTAACGCTGTCATAATTGATGATCATTACCGTGATACCTACAAGAATTTTCACACTTGAATGTAGATTCCTCAACATATTCCTTGACGATACCCTTAACATTGTACCAACTGAAACATTAGTATGATTTGTGTGGTACATTCAGCTGTAGGATGCCTCAAACGAGAAATTCAGCTGGAATTAAGTTGAGTCTCACACCAACACAAATTTAATTCGAAAACGAATATAGTTCCCCACCGCCATACAATCCTGTTAATCAGGGAAATATAGGATAGCGGGTGATTCGGGGAATGTGCCTACCCGATGAGTCCTAAGAAGAATGGTGAAACCGACCGTATGTTGTCGGTTGGCTTTCAGCATCCTCGTGAGTAGTGTGTTTCGTCAAGAAAATACAAAGAGTACTCTTTTATCTCGCCTCGGAGGCGGACAGTGATCACGTAACCCCATCAAGCTCCAGTACACACCAATTAAGTGGCATTTCAAGAATAATGGATTTGACTGCATGGAGTCTGTGTGCAGTCAATAAATTGTAGTACTAGTCCGGCTGAACAGTACCTCATTGTACAGTAGCATTTTGGACATTACTTTCTCCCTTCATTATGGATGCGCTTTCAACACATCCTCCAGTCAGCAAAAAGCTACGCTTTTGTCCAAGGTTTTCAACTGACGCCCTACCTCTCATAGTCATCTTGTCAAACATTAGGCTATCATCATCTATGTTCTTCTCAAAACGTCAGGGGTCGACGGTTCCAACGGAACCACTAAGGCTTTGAGTGAAACTCCATTGCTCCATGCCTATTATCAGTGCCTAGTCTGGCTGCACGTCTGGCTTTGTCACGCATCACGAATTCAAACTGGCTATATCAAAGAAGACCAGATCCTGTCACTGGTAGCGCCATGCTGCATGCAAAACTCCCACAATTGTGCAAAGACGTGGTGAACGTATGAACTCACACCTGATGGTAGAGCTCTTGCAAGAGAATCTAATAGACGCTTCCAGTAAATTCATCAAACAATCCGGATCTTCCAGTCACTCACTTGCCAGTCGATCTGTCCGCACTTTGCATGGCCCTGGAAAAAGACGGGATAAGTCACTCCAGATGAGCGTGTGGTCGGAAGCCTCATATGTGACCCAAAACAAGCGTCAGTCAGTCGACATCGGTAACTGATGGTAATGTGATCGAGCTGGGTTCTTGACCAACAGGCGGTTGGAGGATACCATGTGGAAAAATAACTCCGAAACCTAGTACTGCATGAAAACAGCCTACGGCCAGCACACAGCTGAAGCAATCGTTCACCACTGTACCGTACCAAGCCAAGTACATGTCGACCACCTAACTGAGGCTCTGATGCGCTAAGCCTGCCCATATGTGCACTGAGACCTCCGGCAACCACAACGGCATTCAAACTTTTAGCTAGCTGCAGCAGAACGTTCGGGGCGCCATAAAACGTGTCTTTGATGGTGCCGGAGCTACAGCCAGTTGGGACGTCAACAGACGCGACAAATACATATCGATCAACTTCCCTCTTGTGAGATTCCGGACGAAACGCGCAAAAGCGAATTGCAATGGGTGTTCAGTCAAGCAAGGATCCTTCCGCGCGGTGACTTAGAACGACACCAACCTCCACACCTCCTTCCACCGCAGCCTCTGGATTATCATAGGTGCGAAGCCGAAAGTGACTGGAGAGTGATGGGGCGGCTAGCTTGATCACTGTGCTTGCTTCTTGAATTCTCGTTTCTGAGACACAGTACACATAAATGCCAAGCGAGTCCAGTGCGAGAGTAAAAGCAGTTTGTTCACCTGCTTGCTTCAGAGTGCGGACATCGGGGGGGGGGGTGGCAGATGGACTGAGTGTCGAGGATTGAAGATTGATTTCGAGCTACTTGAGGATGTCCGCACCGGATGACACGCAGATGTTACTTAAAAAACCGATGCAAGATAAACGGAGTCATCACTCCTAACCACTGGATCTACAAGGATAAAGATATTGATGGGATGGGGAGAGGGCGAAGGAAACGTATGTGAGAGAGAAAGAAGGGAGGCGTCAGCAGTGACCTGTCTTCGCCTACTCGACTATCCGGCCGATGGGCCCACTCAACTACCGATGTGACATGAGTTTATTTGTGTATGTGCCTGGTTGTAGGTGGGTCGGCATACTGCCAGGGCGCTGAAACCCAGACAGGACAAAGATTTAGGCCCTCAACCGAAGCCCTTGGCTCAAAAGCCTGACCACAAGGTAGCGGTGTTTGCCCGGAAATGTAGGTGCACTGACATTTCTACAGAACAAGTCGCCAGACATGTTCTAAACCAGAATATGAAGGGCCAGGAGACTGTGCTTGTCATAGGGAGGCAACAACTAACTGCATTTGCTTGGTCACTGCCACGAGAGAGTTAGAAAATGAATCAGATACAAAACACGCAAACGACTTGACACAAAACTAAACCTGAACAAAAAACTTGAATACTCAGCTGAGAAAAGCGCCACTGTGTATGGTTCTGTCCAGTTGCACAACCTGCAAAAGACCCTAAGACAAGCTGCTTTCACTAAGAAACTGTTAAACAGTACTGAAAACCCACGGTATCACAAGTAGGATCCGGTAGTTCATGCGAAATTTCCTTATGCTGTCTAGTCATGAGCCTCAACGTAAGCCGTAGAAAATCAGGCCATCAAGCCTAGTTTTGATAGAAAGACATAAATCAAGAGGTCACATCGTGGGAGTACCTAGGCTATCCAGTGATCAGATGAACGACATGTGTCAGCAATCTTTCAAAAGCTCTTACCTCAAAACACCCACGTCACGTTGGTTAATAGGAGATTTAGCAACGAGGGGGGCGACCAACAAGCTGGCCTGTCAACTTCAAAAGAAAAATCAGGTAGACCATCACGTCTACCAAACACTGATCATTATGTTTGAATTTGCCACCAACTTTTTAAACTTCCACACAGCATACATCTTCGAAGCTCAGACACCGAGTTAAACAATATGGCAGATTGGACCGCAGAAATAACTTCTTCGCGCCTTGAAACGATCACCCCTAGAAGTTCCTTCTCCTCTCCTTGCCACACTGTGCGCAACATGGCCTACATCAGTTTGAGAGCTGATATTTTCGATCCCTCTTTTTCCCGATTCTTTGTATGTTTCCGTAACAACCATATGAGTGTTTTCTGGGTAAGCGCGTCTCTTACGAGTGAATTCGTTCTAAAGATTCATGCTCTAAAATAGCCCATCAAAACTCAATTGAGCCCTTTGTAATCGAAGATTCTTTTGTCCAAGACCTTCGTAGATTAGTGAGAACTAAGGAGGTCATCTTGAGGACTGTGGCTGGAACTGTACATCATCAAGCATAAGTAATCGCTTTAAATAGAATCATGCCTAGAAATGGTATCCTGTAAACCAGTTACCCTTTTGGGCTTTGATAAAAATGTATGACGGAACAGGCGATCCCTTGTCTCAGCCGACCTGAAGGTATTCGATCAGCCTTGGGTCCGATCGAAGCTTCTTTTCCAGAGCCATGTATCGTTGCGGCGCAGTTTGTTTGTGTTTCATCAACATGGCTTCAAGTGTGGTAATCCGGAAGGTGGCGTCATTGCAGAACTGCAGATACTGTTGCTCGTCATCTTTGGTCATATGGATCTGATTAAGTTGGTACCATTGTTGTTTCTTTTGTAATTTTTCCGTTTCCCTCTCAAATCGACCTTGTATTATGTTTGCCTTGTTGATAAGGCGTTGTTTAAAGTCTTGTAAACATTCTTCACGCAAGGCAAACGCCTGTTCGCGGGTCAACTTTCCGTCATTGATTTCAAGCTGTGACAAGAACGGCGCCAAGTAATCCAGTTCGACTTCTTTACATTTTGTGAGCTCGTCTTCGGCCTCTTTTTCTAGTTGCAGCCGAAGTTCGTGTGCTTCAACATTCCTTAACGTGTCGAACAAATCGATATCCAATTGGATTTTGTTTTCTTCTGCCATTCGCTCACTGAGTATTAGTCGTACTTCAGCTTCGGATTTACGCACGGCAGCCTTGGATACTTCCTCTTCGTGTAGCAAATGCATCAGCATGTTGTAAATTTCCACCTGAGTTTTGGGCTTGGCAAATAGATTGACCTGTTAAAGTGTAAAGTTAAAGAAATTCTATCAGCCTGTTAAAGTGTAAAGTTAAAGAAATTCTTTTAAATTCTTTTAAATATTTAGCAACCGTTCAAAAGGTATTCTGTTTATTGACCAGACTACAAGCAAACTATTTTGAAAAGTCTAGATTTTCAGATCATTTCGCATGACGAGAATCCTTTGAGTAATATCTCCATTTAATCGTTTGTGTGAATAGAAGTTTTCCTAACAGATTTCACATACACATCAAAAAAATAATGGTTCATCTGAAATAATCCGTCTGTGCTTAGCTGCTATGTCGTATGCGAAAAACGCAAGAACGCTGAGATACTTCTAGGCTTCTCAAGCCTAGACAGAAGCTGGAGTTAGGTTTGAACCATGGACCTTCCTGTCAGCAAGCTGGCGCCCTAACCATACTTCGGTATAATAACTCTGTCCATCTATTGGTGTTATCTTTGGTTTTGTCTAAAACAGAACGTCAAGCTACTTGAAGAGCACGCGATGCATCATTCACCAAACTACAACATTCGAAAAATTGTTTTGGGTGTAGGTCACGAGATTTGTGAATTGGCTAAGTGATTAGAGCGCGAATTTAGTAACCGGAAGGTTCGTGGTTCGAACCCGACCTCTGCCTCTCGACTTCCCTGTTTCAGCTTGGGCAACCTGGTAGTATACTAGCCCTCGTGCTTCCTTCGTGTGGCACGGCAGCTGCGCACTGAAAGGGCGCCACAGCTGAAGGATTATCATTTTATCGTTTTGTGAAATCAGCACCCACATATATTTTGGTGCGTCCACACCAAAAAAAGAAGCGCCGGATTCAGTTTTCACCGATCAGCAGTGCAGAACCTTGATCTTGTCGAGGAAAAAAACTTTGGACACTGGACGCGCTAGCACAGCTGTGATACATCTGACTTATCAGTAACATCTGCTTTTCGCTATACCCATCAGTTACCCTCAATTATCCTGTGAGTTTACCGTTGCGGTACTCTGGCTTCGCAGGAGATTTCCCCTCAGCCGATACCTGGGCGATGGAAATAACTTATGGAAACAGCTTAATCCCACCATAGGGAGAGACTTCGTCTATAGACAACCCCCCTCTAATGAAGGAACGCTTCGAAGAAGAAGATTTTGATCAGTAGCTAGTTTACAACTCCAATTTTTATCTTGAGCAAAATGCTCCGCTACACAAACAATATACATTCCCTACTCATAAAGAACCGAGAAGACAAAAATAAAACAAATGATGTCTTAGCAAATGGTAAGCTAAACTACTCCTATCCCATATTAAATCCCGTCCGTGTGGCTAACAGGAAGTTCAGATTCCCGAATTAACCTCAGAACGCCCTGAACATACTTCTCCACCAAAATCTCAACAGAAAACCCGGCAAGCATTCAGACCAGTCAGTCACTCAATCAATTCAGCAAAAGCCAATGAGTCTTCATGCACGCAACAGAAGCATGACTGAATGTGATCAGCATTCAGGAACCTCATAGAGGCACGATCGATGTTGACGGGTTCACGCCTATCAGACAGCCTGGATCAATATCAGAAAGTCCACTTTAAATAGCGTGGGGCTGTTGTAACGTTGGCTCTCGCACGCGCACGCACTCTCGCACTTGCTTGTTCGGAATATAGCTGTTGTGTTCCTCCTGTGAGTCTTTTTTCAGGCACTGGGCAATGGAACGGGTCAGCAGCAGATACCACAGATTAGCGAATCAGCAGATATAACAGTAGAGCAGACAAACAGTTGTCAGTTACGGTAAAGCCGTTGACAATAACAGACAACAGGGCGATTTTAATGGAGGGTTCCGTGGAGAAGCCATTTTGTGTCCCATAAAGGATTTGAACCTCACTGAAGCCGGTAGGTCGGTTGGACAGAGTGACTTATCTTTCAGAATAAAAGTATATGAACAAACAAAAGGAACCATTGGTAGTGTCTGTGGAACGCAGTCCATGCAGGAAATAGTTCGTGTCAAATTGTTGGGAATATGCTGGACACCTCGCAGCATAGCTGGACACCTCACAGCATAGCTGGATTGTCCATAATTTATATATAATGACGGTTGGTTAGGAAAGCTTCAGCTAAGGTAAAGAGCTTCGGTCTACTCGAAACGTATCCCATGTAGATGCACTGGAAAAAACAACTATGCGACTTCGAGAAATACACTCATTTGTAAATCGATTCGGTTTTCACGAGAGATCAAATGAATCTCTCGTTTATGATATTCTACAAATGAATGTGCTGCACACAGGCTGCCTCATGATTCAGTTGGCACGATATCCGAGAGATCGTAGTATATTTTCATAAAGGAATCCACTTACAAGGTTGCTGAAAACTCTTCGACAGCTCACGACCGGTTTTTCCCTTCTTGGGGTTCATCAGATAGGGGCAGTCTCCGATTTTCCGTCAACCTTATGTTCTACTTGAACCCAAATTGCACTGTTTAAGAGAAATACACTCATTTGCACATCAATTTGGTTTTCACGAGAGACTCAATTGAATCTCTCGTTTATTATATCCATGCGCTGTCGAAGAGTTTTCAGCAACCTTATGAAAAAACTATGCGGCTTTGTTTACGAGTTTCAATTATCACGGCAAGAAACATGTAGGACAGAAACTAGCCCGCAGGTGAACTTACGTTACTGAAGCGTGAGCTAAACTCATGTGTGGCTACGAAATTTTCAGCCTTTCGGGAGGGAGAATCATTTATACCTTGCCATAAGAATCTTAGGAAGCTAGGTTACATAGTAGCACATTACTGGATGATCAAAGACCTATTCAGAACAGTATAACGGAATAAAAAGGATAAAATACGCGTTCACCTGGAAAGCTACTTTACCGCCGAGCTGCCATTTGAAAGAAACACGAGGACTGAGTTTCGACGAGCTCGAGCAACTGGACAAGAGGTTTTAGCACCGAGTTATTCAAAAAGACATAAATTAGCCTGCCAGATTAAACTGAGCTGGTAGCGTTTCAGCTATTACAAACCGCAAAGGCGATTTAGACTTTACCCTATGGCGCGTAGAAAGAAACAAACGGATCTTATACCATAAATAAATTCATGTTGTACGACCCCATTCTAGTGCCTGCAGATAGACCCGATTACCTAAGGCACTATAGTTGAGCACGTCTTCTAGATAATTCTCTGTCTGACCGGTAGAGTTTATCATCTGAAGAATTCAGGTTTTGTCTCCTTCAAATGGTTCGTAAAATGTTAATGAAAGTTTAGTGGTTGTAGCCAGACGGAATGCGTTTCCCTCGCATAACACACAGCCACTCTTCCACCAGGATCTTGAAACGCTACGAATAACACGGTAATTTCCGAAGGAAGTTGTATTTCCTGCTAAGTTTGTCCCACCGGCTCACTCTAAAATACCCTTCTACTGATGAACATGTGGTTTTCAGGTGACCGGATACCTAAATATAGTCACGCCGGAGCGTCAGAATGGAGATTAATAGGGGGGGGGGTTTACCTGGAGGTTTTCTGACGGATAGTTTCATGAGTTCAGATGAGGAAATGCATATCACTGATTCGACGGCATCCACATCTACAGTTTGCAATAGATTTTGCTTAGGCTCATCCTCGAGCAAAAGCTGTGTGGTGCTGACGACTTCAAGTGTACACAAATATCTGTGTTACACCAGGCTTACTTCCCGAATACAAAACGAAATGGTACAATCCTGAACTGCAGTTTAGGTCACATCGTGTTTCAATCCCCCCCCCCACTTCAGTCATAAACGTTACCATTTGTCTTGTGATGTCAGAGCATAAAATCTTTTGGTGACTCATCTGCCTCGTGGCCTACTGAAAAACCATTAAAGGATGTGGAAAATAACCGATGGCATTCCGTGTCTGTCTTATCTCTAAGCTCGGATTTCAGGGTTCAACAGGTTACATTAATTTGACTAAGACAAACAGCCGCTTACGAGTACAAACACTCATCGTAGCTTAGGAGGTTTATGAGACAGATATTAAGCAACGCTTTAACGGTGTCGTCATTACAGGATTCCACAATTTGCCCATGACTGGTCTATCAGAAGACAAGGTAATGGGGTTTCATGAGTAACCGTTACAGAGTTGCACAGACCTGATATCATTTATGAAGGAACCGGCTTAAAATGTGCTTCCTCGGCTTTTTGGTCACCCTCAGTTGACTTGGCTAATGTGATACGATGTTATGTTCACCCAAAGGACCAACCCTCCCTCCCAGGTTCTTCTCTTAACATTCTACTCTCTGTGCAGTCTAATTAACTCCAACTACCCTCGTCACGTTCTAACCTAATGCGCGTTTTCATAGCCCAGACAGCATTTATTTGCTCCGGATGGTTAAGCAATGACTGCGCAGTTAAGGTGTATACTTGATGGATAAATTTATCTCAGTATATCACGAGCAGTTTAGCAACTCTTACGCTCAAGTTCTTGTAGCCTCTACGGAGTCGGAACTGCGACCAAACGCAACTGACGTTTCTTACAGCCTGCATGATTAGTATCAACAGCGTAACAGCGGTTTTCAGCTATGATGCTTCGCTGCTACACAACCGTAAGTGACTTGAATGCTTTTTTGTAAATAAAGAATAAAAGTGGATGGGGAAGGGAACTAGTGCTAGTCTACCACAGTCATTCTGAGCTACAAACACCTCCAGACACTCATTCAGACATTCGAAGATAACAAAAACAACTAAGCTACTTGTATTGATTAAAAACCATGTCATGCGGCATCTCTAGCCATATACAAACGGGGACATCCAGTCGCACCTTCAATGACGCTCTTGCATCTATTGCCTTCAATGCATAGCTCCTTTTCTATTCCCCCAATTAATAGTCCACTGACAGTGCTGTATTTAAACAGCAATTTATCAACTCCCTCCAACACGTAGCTACTTACCTCACCTCCCCAAATCATTGGTGAATGAAACTGTGGCAGTTACAACCACTGTACGACAAGTCCGCGGTTCTCACAGCTGACAGTGATGGAATGGCTTTGACAAATACACCCAGTTGCAAATCAATTTTGTTCCCACGGAGACTCAAGTGATTCTCTCGTTTATAATGTTCTTCAACTGTATGTCCTGCACAAAGACAGTCTTATGTTTCAGCTAGTAGGATATTCGAGAAATCCCAGCATATTTTCATGTATTTTCACATATATAGACGTGATACACTACTCATGATGGTTGGTGAAGGCACTTCGACAGTCCACGAAAGGTTTCGCCTGAAAACATCATAAACGAGAGATTCAGTTGGTTTCCAGGTGAGTCATAAATAAGTATATTTCGCCGAAATGATTTGCAAATGAGTGTATTTCTCTTAAACAGTGCAATTCGGGTTCAAGTAGAACATAAGGTTGATGGAAACTCGGAGGCTGCGCCTACCTGATGAGCCCCAAGAAGGGCAAGACTGGTCGTGGGCTGTCAAAGAGTTTTCAGCAACCTTGTGAGTAGATTCCTTCATGAAAATATATTTCGCTTGGTTTACGGATGATTCTCTTGCTGTGGGTACAGCTGTTCGTCCATCCCGTAGTCCACGTGACCCCACAACCATACAACACGAAGCAGTAAACCTAAATCAGTGGCAGTGATAGCAGCTTCCATTCAGGTTGTTTGAGAAGGAAACGCTTGCGGTGTAGATACTTCGTACGGTTATGCTGTGCTAGCGATCCCTGTGAGCTTAATCATCACAGATCAATCTCTTCTATTGGCTGAAATGCCTTGAATCACTGACTTCTTAAAACCACTGTTACTGCCGAAGGGAATGGTGATGAGCACTCAGTGAAATTCCGAATGCTATCCGTAACTAATTTTATTTGCTTGATACGGATGCAGTATGAACAGTATACCTTCTGCACAGCTCGGAGAGTTGTGTTTCATCACAACTAAACAATTTTTATTCTTGAGCACAGCCCGACCTAATTCATAACATCTCACCAAACACTGATAAGCTAATTTGTGTCTCGGGATAGCTCAATGGTTATAGCGCCAAATTACTGACCTGATGGTCCCGATTCGAACATTACCTCTGCAATTCGAATGCTCCTGTATTGGCTTGAGTAACCTGACACCATATCGGCCCTCGTGCTTCCTTTGGGTGGCATTGCAGCTAGGCACTGTAACGGCGCTAGAGCTGACCCACCTTTAAACTGATGATTTAGCTAAATGTAAGCAGAATCTCAGCTTATACTGCTACGTCATGTTGCTTCGGTTCCATTCAGCACATTTTACTGTTCTAGCCCAGTTTTTGGGATTTCCACGAAGCCTTGAAACTACAAGTAGGTGCCTGTGTACGTGGACCTACTGCGTACAGAGAGCAAGTGGCTGAAATGAGGACATCTTTGCCACCGAAACAAACGAGTTTTGCGTATCCATTTGACTGTCATCATCTAAACTGAGGCCACGGATAGAAATTTTTATATGGCATTTTTCAGGTTTTTCCATAGAGGAAAATGTTGGTAGCTCAGGTAGCGTAGATGGTGGTCGTTGGCTTGTCCGCTGCAATCAAATTGCCCAGCTCAGCGAACAAGCCAACAACCACCATTTTTCAGGCTGTTTGTTTCATCATTCAATAATGCACGCGCGAGAGTACGGAATTAAATAAACTGATTCTCGACATCCACTCAAATTTATTTGCATACTACCTGTTTTTTTCCAGTTGCGTACAATCCGCTTTAAATTCGAAGAATTGCGGTGACGCTATCCCCAGATGGTGTGTAAGCAAATGCGAGTGAACAGAACACCAAGGGGCCAGGGATCACTTATTTCGATGATTCCGTCTGTCACCGGTAAGTTTCTGATCTCCAGGGAGATACCCAGTGGTAGGGGAACTCATCTTCCCCTGGTGGTCGCTCGTTGAAAGGAGGTTCTACGTTTTGAACCCCTTAGGGTTTCACCTCACACTAGTTGGGAAGGAGTAGACGACTTTTTCGTTGGTGAGTGTTGGTGGAGCTTGAATTGAAGTGAGACAATGGTCAGAAAGGGTTATGACTGGCACTGTCTGCACTGCAAACCTATTTCAGACGAATACATGCAGGTTCATGCTGAACGGTCAGAATTGGGCTCATTGATCAAAATCAAAAGGGGAACGAATATTGATCCATCGCTTCACGGGTACGGCACTCAGACAGACACTTGAGGTGGTTATAGTTCTGAGGGACCGATAGCTTGTCTGCTCTGATTTATTTAATTTTATTGGAGATGCAGTAGGAAAGTAAGTGAACAAACAGAATATGGAGAGTTTTATAAAGTTTGTCAGTTGATGGGCATGGGATCGTCCAGCTTAATTCCTTTTTTTCAAACTGAACCACCAAGATATCAATAACTTTTAATCCGGGTCACTTAGTACTGCGAACCATAAGGAAACTGCTTTTATACTATAAATTTCAAGAGCAGGGTTTCATTGTTTTACATCAACGATTATTCCACTGGTGGCAGCTCAAAGGCAATAAATTAGCGTGAACTTACCTGAAATGTATAATGCGTATCAGAATAGAGCTGTATATTATTTCGACGATCCTCACTCGGCGGAGGTTTGATAAACTCCCTGGTACATGCTATAATTCGGTCATCTCCAATGTGATAAGTTAAGAGAATGCGCTCCTCGGCAATGAAAAATATCCGCTCTGCGACATCCTCATCTGCCTCTTTGCTTGGGTCACGTGTGAATCGCTCGGTAATTTTATCGATGGCTAGCTGGCTACTACTGGTCACACACACGAGTGCCCCGCCATCTGCATCTTTGGCTAATTGTGCCGGGCCAAACTTTTTAATTTTGGCACCAAATAACGCCTCGCGATAACACATACGATCACTGCGGCCAACGTAATATTCCTTCATGGTGGTAGGGGTTTGTTCTCGTTTTTCGAGGCCATCTACACGGGCAGTGTGGTAGAAAAACATTGTTCGTCGAGCTTGTGGTCCTTGTTGATTACGATAGTAGTGATGTTCTGCTAAGTGGTAAGATTTGCGACCATGGTCATAGATTTCATTTACAGCGTTTGTACTTTCCTCGCGAAAGCGGCTAAGAAGTTTATCTGCACGCTGAGCATATTTCTCCAGAACATCAGTTGGGTGGAGACGTTCTCTGTCTGCGTAGTTAGTTAGGCGAAATATCAGACCATCTGGTTGGGAGAATGGAGCAAACTTTTCCACTTTGCATCGCCGATACAGCGCGGTCTTTTGACCACCCGGGTAGCGAAATTCATATAATTCTTGGCTAATTCGAATTGGCGAGGTCCAGGTTGGTGGCAGATCCATCAGAAGCAGCTTATCCTCCAAACCAGCTACTTTCTTGCTTTGTTCGGCTTCCTTGCTGGGCATGTCACCAGTATTTGTGATTGTTCCTTGTTGTCCAAAACCACTCACTGTGCCTGCTCGATGGGCAGAAAACGGAGTTGACATCACAATGTGGCTGCTTTGAGTACTATCACGGCTTACCAGCTCATAATTCAGTGTTGATTGCACATGTATACCTTCCATTGGCCAATCCGATGTTTCAGCAAGTTGATTTCTGGCGAATTCCAATTCCGAAGGAGCCGGTTTGATTCGCACACTTCCACTGGGTAACAGATACTCCCAGTTCTGTCCGTTATCCAGGTCATACTCCATATCGCCTATCCCATTGGAACAGTCTTGCATGTTGACCCAGTAATTATTGGCGTTCCATAGGCTTTCGATTCCCAAATACAGTGATGTCTCTAATGGATGGGCAACTCCCGTCAGTGGTTCGATGAAGAAGGCCTCAGGCACATCGCGTTGTCCGGCAAGAACCAAAACCCAAGCATGTACTCTGAGTCCGTGGAGTGGGTCTTTCGGAGGTTTGCAGGCCTCTGCTTCCTCTCGTTCGGCTTCTTCCTGGTTTAATCGTTTTTGTTCGGCCTCTGCGTGCAATTCTTTGGCCAAACAGGCCCTTTCGTATTGGGAGGTCAAATCCTTTGGTGGTCGTATCATATATTTCTTCGACTCGCTTTCTTCCTCAGACTCAACTCTTACCTCAGGCTTTTTCTTGTATGGTGATACAAGTCGCGTTTGATCCATATAGCAGCATTCACGGGTGGCGTATCCACTAACTACGTAGGCATCATAGCCTACCCCAAGCAACAAAGAACAAAGTAGGTTGGCATACTCGAAGCAGCTACCTTTTTGAATCGATATTGTGGTGGAAGGACTGAGTAATCGTTTGGGCAACTCTGTTGATGGGACTAGAGGGACAAACTCAAGAAAGTCGGACACGAAACTTGCAGCCCCCTCCCAAGTATACAATTCAGGATAAGATAGCTGTATTGGATGCAGTGTTGTACACACAAATTTTTCCACTCCACATTCATTCTTCGGAGTTAGCAACAGTCTCGTCCGATCAGGACATAAGTCAGCATACTGGCGACGGAAGTTTTGACAATATTCGACCAGACGTGCTTCCTTAGCATTGTTTACTTTGTAGGCTTTTGGGAATTTGTTCGCGTCAAATGCCTCCGGCAAAAGTTCATATGCTTTAGGAAGGTAAACTGGATTGAGTTCCACCAGACTATCATCAGATGGTCCGATAGTAGTTACACTGGTATCTGGACAAGTAGGGTCGGCTTTTGGAGTAGCTTCATGTGTGGAAGTTCCACCAGTATGGTGAGACACTGTCTCGTCTTGATCTACATGGTCAAAGTCCTCTGGATAAATTATCTCATCGTACTCCAACTCATCCAAAGTTCTCAGTCCTCTCCGCATCATTAGTCTTTTTTAAAGGTTATGTTGGTTTCATCTGAAAGGGAAATTAAATGACAGTTTAGAAATCTAGCTGAACCAACTTTTACACAAATTGTTATGCCAAACTATCACGGTGTTCTGGGTAGAAAGATCGACACAACGTTTGGAGGGATATTCAATGACGTTTTTTGCGAGGAGTTTCAAGGTGTGAAGAACTATTTCTCCGTCTGATTTTATCCTTTGGAAATAGTAAAATTTATTGGAAACGTGAGAAGCTGTCTGAATGACTCATAGTATCGCAGTCATCTTGAAAGTGCAAAAGTCTTTTGGGATGGCTTTTTGATGAAAAACTGTAGATACTGCAACCGACTAACCATCATTTGGACACCTATTGAAAACATCTTCACCACGGTCACTCAGGCATCTTTGGTTTTGGCCACAAACTGCCGGGAACGACTCATGCAGATATGGTCAAAAGCGTAGCTACTAGTGCCAGGATTTTATCTTTTTCCCCTTTACTTGGTAATTGATCAGGTGGCTGTTGATCTGTTCGCCGAGCTTGGCTACTGATTTGTAAACGTCTCGTTACCATTCGGGGAGGCATCCTCAGTGCGCTGTTGGTTGGGTAGTCCTCTCTTCGTGCCTGCGCTTATATAGTTTGGAAAGAACAGCCTTTGAGCTGTAACTTGGATTATTGTTGGTCCGATCTTAATTTGTGTTGAGTTGTGGTTTAGATTTCTTGCTTTCTACGGCCACGCTACTGTTGAAATTGCCATCCATGTTGTCTCTTTCGGTTGGCCCGTTTTCGATATGTATTGCGACGTGGTTGGCTTCTCTGTTGACTATAGTGTACCTCCTATTTTTAGCAGTTTGTTGTTTTATTGATTTCTTTTTTTGAGTCCTTGTTCGGCCTCGGGTTATGTGGTTCTGTATTTTCTTTGCCTTCAGAGGCTCTTAGACAAGATCAATCTCAGTGCGCCTGTTTATTGCTTCAACACTGGAGTACTACGCCTCCATGAACTCGCGTTCTTCTTTTTTCCCCTATAAATTTGATTCCGTTAGATCGCAGAAAATCACATCAAAATTTGTGCTCATTTTTCATGTTCATGTGTCGCTTTCGCATCGATATCAGTTTTTGGCTTTCATTGGTTGTCCGTGTATTTACTCCAATCCCACATTCAGTCGTTAGGTATGGCTTGGCTGCTATTAGTAAAGTGACTGTGACAAGGTTCAAGTCCGCGTCAGCTGTCATGCAATTAAGAAGAAACAGGGATTGACAAAATGCTCCGTGGTCGTCTTTTCAAGTCCCAGACCTGGACACATATATCTAGATGAATTGGCGGATACCGGGCAGATGTTTAGGGCATGCCTGGATCTCTGTAATTTTAAGACACCTTCTGGTGGAGGAGTTATGACCCTACACATAAGTTATGCGTCTCTGGACAGACAGTGTGTGGTCTTTGGCCTAACTAAATGGTGTCATTGCAATTATTATATTAATCCAGTTCGTCTTTGACTACGTGCTTTTTACCGGTATATTATTAGAATCATAAAATGGAAGGAAATCTCGACCCAGAATGAAAGTGCTTCTAAATCGAAGGTAAAAAATTGTACAAGTTATAAACTGCGCCACAGACGTCCCGAGACCGATAGCTGTGGCAAATCGCCAAACAGTCCGTTTGTGCTGAGGAAGCATTCACTCCAAAATTTTTTTAGAAAAAAAGTAAGAATGCGAAGAAAATGTCAGTCAGCCAGGCAGTTTTCAGTTCACACACCATGCACCGAAGTGCAATGTGTTCCTGCTGTTACCGCCTTGTTCAGTGAGGATAAGCAGTACAATGGAATGACAACTGCGGATGAGGTGCAATGGCCCAGTCCGTTCATTGATGACAAATGGATCTGCTTGTTCAGCAAGGCAGAAGGTGAAAGCTACACAGTGAAGGCGACAGCTCCAATGCAAGACCGCTATTGGCTGCTTGACACCGGTCCGTTAACCATTGGTTCGTCTCGTCTCGCGGTTCCCGTGTAACATACGAAACTCTTGGCTTCACATACGTAATGGCTCAGAAGATGTGTGTCATCCAGACTAATCAGACAACGACATGGGCAGTGCTGATCTGAGTTATTCTGAAAGAGATGACTAGCGAGCGAGGGAATCCCTGTGCACTAGTCGGATAATGAATCGCACGTAACCAGCATTCATATGCGTATCGGCCCAACACAACAAAACAGTGTTGAAGAACGTGTCGTGGTACGGATTCAGCGCAGTCAAAATTTTGGCCATAGTTTGGATTTCAGGCAGTTTATTTTTCAAGAAGTTTATTCGTCAGAAGACGCAGGATCTTTACTGGACAGTTTTATTTTTGTTGTCTCGAATATGGATGCTTATTCTTACTGAGGTCCATCATGAAAACCACCTGACCGGTACACTCAAGTTGAAAAAAATAGTTTATACTATGTATACTTATTTTTGGATAGCTGGATTGAATATCACTGGATTAACTTGTGGGCACCAGTATTTACCTAATAATATACCGGTTTCCAGACGAGAGGGAATTCCTCTCTGGGACTTGTTCTCCAGATTTTTTTACTTTCGACGTTTATGACAGAAAAATGTCTCATTTTCTTTCATTCTTAGGAACAACTGCAAATTTCTATTATCCATATCCATTAAACGGGCTCAGAAGCGTGATCATAAGCTGTATACGTGGTTTGTGAACTTGAAGTCTATAAATCCCACAACCGCCTACAACTAATCCAAAAATTGCCCAACAGGTCTCAAGTGTCTGGGGCGTTACCTGACTAGAAAGTTTTGAGAGGCGGGTCAATCGATCGACGAAACCAGAACAGTTACTTGGCCGTCATTTGGGGTGACGGATCAACCAGTCGCACCATTCATCATCATCATCATCAACGACAGCATGACATCAGTGTTCAACACCGATGCTTCACTGCCGTACAGCCATGACTTATTTGAAAGCCTTATTGTAAAGAAAAGAATAAAGGTGGATGGGGGAGGGACTTAGTGCTAGCTTAACACAATCATTCAGAGGTGGCTACACCTCCAGACATTCACTCAGGCAATCTGGACAGAAACTGACAACAAGAACGCCACTGACAACGGTTGGCAGCCATATCTTGTAGTGTATCCAACCAGGCACAGTGACGATCACGCGGTCCCCATCCTGGAAGGCGAGTAGCACCGACAGCACCCAAGCGTTT